CTCTCTCTCTCTCTCTCTCTCTCTCTCTCTCTCTCTCTCTCTCTCTCTCTCTCTCTCTCTCTCTCTCTCTCTCTCTCTCTCTCTTCATCGTGGTCTTCATTGCAGGTGCACGTGGCGGCTTCTTCAACCTCCGGGTCCGCTATGGCGGACTTCTTCTCCGATGGCTACTTCGGCTATAGCGCGAAGCTCTCCCTGCGGCACACGACGCACACGCGTGGGATAGCGGGTATCAGCTATGATACCAATGCAATCAGACTCGCTAGCTTTCACACTTTCACATGCATGCAAACAGGTGTGCAGCAAACTGGCGACAAGAGCCCACTCGAAACTCAGAGATATGGTAGCCAAGAACACAGTTCAGGTACAAGTTCACTTCAATGGCTATGGCGACACAGCGTCCACACAACTCTCTGTTCGCACACACAGGATCACCCTGGATATCCCACATGCGGTACTGTGTACACACATACACACACACACACACACACACACACACACACACACACACACACGCTACACTCCACCTACAGCTATGGCGGCTATGGCCGCTGCTAACCTATCGCTATGGCTAAGCTCCTTCTCGCCCACGTCGTCTTCGGGCTCACTGCAGACCACCTCGCACAAGTCGCTGTGGCAGCGCTTCCGCATGGCTTACGCAGGAATGAATGAATGGCTGGGCGCTGCCTCTTGATTTATACTTCTGTATCTCGTTGGTCTGCCCTTTTCCCATGCCYGTKGTGCACACAGTCCCATGYGGTACTYGCTTGACTGGACTAGGACTGACTGGGACTGGGACTGCTGACTCAGCACGGGTAGACTCCACCACTTGCCCACTTGCCTCAGCCTAAACGTGAGCAACTTCGAAAGGCCACTACTAGGACCTTCCAGAAGTCTGGTCCTGGCCTTTCGAAGACTGTAGCAGCTACGACCTTGACCTTTCAGGACTGTAGCAGCTACGACCTTGACCCTTCGGAAGTTCTACAGCTATGACTTCTAGAACTCCCTAAGACTTCTACTCGACAGACCTACAGATCGAACCCCTACACCTACAGACCCTACGACCGACTACCACTTCTGCAAAGACACCCAGGTCACAGGTTCAACTCTCAGGGTCGACACAGGTCCTATACACAGGTAAGGTGAGGACTGGGGATCGAGCCTTGGGATCTGCATTCGCTACTGCTAATAGGTGAAAACCGTTTCAGAGTCTTTGCACAATTTCTTTTTAGGAGAGTGCCATGACGCAACCGGCCATTTTGGGTTCAAGGAAACGTCAGCTAATTTAGTACAACGGCTTTGGTGGCCCATGATGCTAAACGATGCAAAGAAGTATGCTGAAACATGTCAGGTTTGTCAGCGTGACAAACCAAGGAAGTAAGCACCACTTGGGTTAATCAAGCCTTTGCCGATCCCTGCTGGTCCTGGTCAGAGTGTGTCCATGGAATTCTTGGATACTCTTGTGGACAGATTTACTAAGTATGCTAGAGCAGCAAACGACACATCTTCGTCATTGTGGACAAATTTACTAAGTATGCTAGATTGATTGGCATGATGGAGACCGCTAAGACTGACCATGTAATAAAGCTATTTATGGATAATTGGTATGACTTCGGTCTTCCAAGTCCATTGTCAGTGATAGGGATGTCAGATTCATTAGTGAACTGTGAAAAAGTACGGCCCAGCAAGTGGGAACCAAACTGCAGATGACATCAGGTAACCACCCTGGGACCAATGGCCAGGTAGAGCAGATCAACAGGGTAGTGCAGCATTTGCCCCGACATTATATCAAGCCGAGTCAGGATGACTGGGATGAGAATTTACCTGTCGTCGCCAGCCTGTATAACAACGTTGTGCATAGCACTACTGGCATGACTCCCAACCAGCTGCATCGTTGTTGGAAGCCGAAGTTTGCTCTCGACTTCCTATTGCCTGAGAACCAGCCCACAGCAGCATCTGACAGCATTGAATTTGCTGTCAAGTACGACAAGATGCTGCAGCAGACTGTGGAACAGATTGGAAAAGCTCGAGATGCTATGGTAGCATCTGAGAACAGGCACACACGGCCATCTGTGTTTCAAGTAGGTGAATAAGTTTGGGTAAATTCATCTGAGTTAGGTCATGATTTGGGAATATCTAGAAAGCTCATGCCACAATGCTTTGGGCCTTGGGAAGTTTTGAATCTAGCCGGAAATGCACGTGATGGACCTTCCTGCGTCATTCGCATCCCTGGTCATTTAAGCACACATCCTGTTTTCCATGCCTCCAAACTGGCTCCTCTCGCTGAGACCGACAGGTTTCTGTCAAGGAGATCTATGCTGCCCCCAACCATGAGTGTACACGTTGACATTGATGACATCATCAAGTGCAAGGTGATGCCGGTTCCCAAGCCTCCACGCAGGGGTCGACCTCGGAAACCGCAGATGCAGTATCGAGTGCGGTTTAGACGTCACGTCGATCTTAAGGAAGTCTTAGATCGGTGGTTCACAAGAGAAGAATCGATGAAGACTGCTGCACAGTTTATTTCCGGATATGAAAGAAGACTGAAAGGGAAGCAGCCTGCTGATTAAAGACTTCTCAAAGGACTATGGAAGTGGCATGCCCGTATGGGACGCCCGCTGCAAGCTACGTGCCCGCCCTAATTGAGGCAGGCCCTGAATATTGCAAAATTTGCCAGCCTTAGTGGGTGCCAGACAGTTGCAACGCGCCAGTTGGTTACATACGCCCTGCCCGCGAGCATCAGAATATCCAGTGAACCTTCTAGGCTCTTCTTATGATGATGTCGAAGCAGGCCTGGCGGCCAATCAGAAAAGCAGGGAACACTCTAAAGGCACACGGCAAGTTGGCTGGGCGTGGCTAACTGCTGCGGGCCCAGGCCACTGTCTGAACGGGACCGGGCGTAGACACTTTGGCCCAACATGAAGCTACTGGTCACATGCGCGTCCAGCTCCAGGCAGCAAAGAGCCTGGCTGCTTTCCATATAGGAAAGGGCCAGGCTAAGGGCAGCGCATTCAAGCACCTGCTGACTGAGCTGCAGCGCTGCTGTTTTGAGCACTTGTAGCTGCTGGCGGGAGGTGCAATGGCGCACGCAGGCGCTGGAAGGGGAGCGCTGCTTGTGAGCAGCGAGCGCCAGGTCATCCATAGCCAGAACTTGGGCGCAGACACTGGCGGAGGTGGTAGTGGTCCTTGGGGGAGAGGGAGCGTGAAGAAGAGGGGGGTGAGCTAAGGGAGGGCGAGTGGGGGAGAGATGATGCGAGAGCGGGTACCTGGTCCTGGCGGAGGTCTGCTTGGTCGACATCTGCATGTACTTCAGTTGTTGCTGCTGACGTCAACCGGTTGCTTTGTCATTTCGATAGGCTAGAGTAGTGGCTGTGTGATCGTAGTCTGTGCGCTGAGCACCAGTAGGAGGAAGAACTTCAAGTACATTGTTGATGTTGTCGGGAGAGGGCTTTCCTTGACAATTGAGTTCGCTGCTCTGGTTCTCCTTCGGTGTGATGTCTGTGCATTTCTGCTTTCTGGACAGTTACGGCTATCTGGTTTTCAATGTGATTTTGCAATTTGGTCATTGCTCATTTTCCTTGCAGCATCATTGTTTATGAGCAATTCTTGCCTGTCACTGTTTGTGGTCATCCCTATGCCTCAGCATTGCTGTTACTAGCCCTGAATCGACTCAATTTGAGTCAATTTTTGATTTTTTGTTTGCTTTTTTCTCTTTGCCAGGACCTCAGAGACACAGAGTGTCGCAGAAAGCTGCAAATGATGGCTTTATCTTTCTTCCACCAGAGATTTGTTTCCTCCATCATGTACCAGGAAGGATGATTCGATCAGCACTTTGC